TCTTTGCTAATATAGCTATGAGTAAGAGCTCTGACATAAACATGTCAGAAACTTGGGAGACTAGCCAGGGGTTAAAAAAAATTGTTACAGCTCACTAACCCAGGACTTATTGGTAGCAGGATTTTACTAGCCCTGTTGGAAGAACTGCTACCCCATCAAAACTGACCTGCTAGCCCGAGTATGCCTTACAAATTCAGAGGTTGCTGCATAATACAATGAGTTCCAAAACTTGTTCATTTTCATCCGTTGTACTATGGGTTGTTAAATATTTATTGGCACAGAAAACATGTTCATTGGTCTTGTCATGTGAAACCAGTGGTTCAATTCATATATTTGTTGTTCCAACATACAAAGCAGACTTTTTATTAGCGTGATCGGGAAAATAACAGCAATATTCACAAAATATCGTCCCCGGTTTATCATCAGCAACAGCCAACCTTGCCCAGGCGAATCTTTCTGTCCATGACACTATAAATGTTCTTTCCTCTTTTCCCGGTCCTATTTGGCATTTTTTGGGATGAATTTTCAGTCTCATTACCCCCTTCATTTACCGTTTTTCGTTTTGAAACTGACCAAGTTCCTGGGGTGCCCGTACTGAAATATTTTGTTGCATGGTTTTGTGCTCAACAGCTGTCCGACAAGACAGGTCAATATTGATCAATGAATCATACCCCAGTACTGTTAAATTGAAAATCTCGGCATAAGCAATGTACAATTCTTCTGTAATAAGAAATACGTGAATTGCGATCAATACCTGATACCAGTCCACCCAGAGTTATTTGTTATATTTTTAAAACATGTACAAAATCAGTTCAAATTCTTGGAATCCCAGATGACGTAATTGAATTTGATTGGCTAAGATAAAATAGTGATGAAGGGATTTTCCACTTTCTATTTTGGAAAGGCCAAAAAAAATTTTGTTTCTAGTCCTTTGGGCATATTGGGTTACAAGTTTTGATTGCCCAAGGCGTAAATGCTCTAGTCCCAGGCGTCGGGCTAGTGGATTTTTTAACCCCTGCTAGCAGTGCTTGTGCAGGTCAGATTATGCATCCTTAAAATGGAAGTTATATCATTTACAGACTTCCTAAACATGCTGTAGTCAGAATTCTAATCTATGTTAGACTAATTCAGGTCAATAATAAGAAGAACTTGAAATGTTTTGAGTATTTTGAAATTTGTTACAAACCATATCAGTTAGAGCTCAGACAAAAATATACATGTGTATTTTTGGTTGGGTTTTTTACTGGAGATATCTGAATCTGTATATTTCATGAGTTGTTTCCCTTTATGTCCTAACAATATATGACTTCAACAATTCATTTAATGTTTAGCAAAATATATTTGGCCTTAATCAAAATGCTAAGAATATTGACTCGTTCAAGTCGATAAGTAACCAAAATTTACTAACTTCAAGACCCAAGAAATTGTGACAATAATGAAAGCAATATCTTGTTGTTTGAAGAAAAATATGAGTGAGATCTCGTCTAAGAAACAAAAAAACAATGTTTATTCACTTTCTAATTCTACCATTCATAACCACTGAAAATGAAAAAGAACTTAGATGAGAAAAAAATGTTTGGACATAGGTTTAAATTAAGGTCAGTTAGGAAACCTGAACCACTCATAAATTTTTATTTGGCTGCTATGTATGTATGTATGTACGAAGATTCCTCCGTGAATGGAGCACCACTCCATTGTTCTGAGGGTTTGGTGGAATCCGTGTACACTCCTTAACAGGATTAATCGACATGTGTCTTTAACTTATATACAACCCACCACCAGGAAAACCCCCACCAAACACAGAGGGAGTGTTAGGAGACACTGGGAAGTCTGTTATTGTGGTGGAGGAAGCCGAAGTACTCGTAGAGAACAACTGGGCTTCTCGGAGGGAACAGACAAACAAATCAGAAGTGATATCTATAGATTGACCTGCAGGTCAAAGTCAGGGGCCACATTGACTAACTGAGGCCCCAAAAATGCCCATTCTAGTTTAATCTCCGGTCGGGGACCAGACATGTGTGTGGGATGGTGAAAATCGCCATACTAACTGTACTGAAATTTCCAGCACCTTGAGTCTCAGTCAGAATTGAACCTGGGACCTTCAGCACTGTAACCATTGGTTTTAACCACTAGGCCTTGAACCAACACAATATATACCAACAGAACCATACTTCGTGAATACACATATAGTGGATTGTGACAACAACAAACTAGAGGCTCTAAAGAGCCTGTGTCGCTCACCTTGGTCTATGTGCATATTCAACAAAGGACACTCTCCAACATTTTAGACGAGAATAGAATTCATGACAAAAATCTCTTTTTTGTTAATCTTGTATTGCTGATCCTTTTGTCTGTTTAGTTTCTCTCTATCTTGTTTAGTTTTTGATCAAAACACATAAGATGGTAAAAAAATTTTAAGGGCAATCACCCCTCTAAAGAGTGACAGTCTACTTACTAATAAGGCCATAAAAAAGAATAGGTTGGTTTGCCCTAACCCGACCGACCCATAAAAAAGCACCCGAGTCAAAATCTTTTATTATTCAAAATTTGTGATGTTTTTTTTGCAGAGTTTTGTCGTATCCATATCCGTCTTGAGTTTGTTGCATAGAATAACCTGATCCCATCTGACTGTGCTTTATCACAGGACAACTGGGGTTATGTATTAAAGCCTCCCAATTGATACGGATGACAAACAACACATTACCGTCTAGTACAAATAAAGGTTGGATTAAAATCAAAATCCATAGTTTCCAACAAATTCTATCGTTTTGAAAACGTAAAAACATGGAAAGAGGTGTTTGATAAAGTGTGTGATGACAATTTCATGCTACGGAAAACTGATGAAATTTGTGTGACTGTCTCTGACCTATTGGGACACTCGTTTGAGCCCGACTTTGAGGAAGTTGTTCAGGAATTTGATTCAGCATAAAATTTGATTAAAATGATATTATTCTGACAGAAGTTCTGTCAACAGTGTTTTGTTCAAGTGCTTTGTATTTGAATTTTGTATTCAAATAAACTTCTTCTTCTTAGCATGAGCCTCCTTTAATTAGGAGTACCTCCAAATATATATGGAGTTTTTCCTCAACTTTGAATTTAAAATTTTAAAGAATAAAACAAAAACGTTTCTTCCAACATATGTACAGCACGTATAAATATAAAACAATAAAAGTATCATGCATGGCATATTTACAGGGACCTTTTTATTAATTCTTTAATTTCATTTTCATAGCTTTAAATATTTGTTCAGAGCTTCTTTACATTTCTTACAATTGTTATATGACAGACTCTGTGTCGGTATATATATGTCACTTATGATAATCACTATTTTCATTTGTTTGTCATTTCCTCCATTTTGAGATATATGTATATATATACGTATATGAAATATATATGTCTTGCTATTTGTTATCCATAATTTTCAATCTTTCTTTTTGCATTTGGAATAACATATTTCTGGTTTTGTTTTCAATATTTTCCTGGAATTTTTCACAGTTATACAACAGCTCCTTATATTTTGAACAGTCTATAAGCAATTGTACTATGGCAGTTTTGTTCGTGAAGGTGCAGTTCCATTTTGTTGGTGTGATTTTATCAGTGATCTCTTTTCTTATTTCAGGGAAATATTTTTCTCTCGTAGTACTGAGTATAAACTCATTTAAAATGTTTGTCTGTATTAACAATGTAAACATTCAGAAAAAAGTGTGAACATTGAGGTGGAATGCTGAAAAAAAACTGTTAATAGAAAAGATCTTTATAGTACATATAGATCCTGGCATATATGTGTCTGACAATTTATACAAAACTCTATAATAGTCTTTCATTTTAAAAGTTGTAATGTTTACAAGGTAAAATAATTTTTCTCTAAAAGTATAAAAAAAAAGAATTTCCCTACCTACCTACCCACACCCGAGACTGGTGGGTAGGGTTTGGACAAACAGAAATATTTTTAAGTCTGGCCTAATACCTGAATACATTATATCTGTAAAATTTGACTTGTTTGTAGATGTTGTCTTGCTGATCATTTTTGTTATTTAAAGATTCTATCTATCTATCTATAATATCAATATTCATTATGTAAGGCAAAAACACAAAAAAAATATAAAAATCGTCATTAAACATGTTAAAGGGCATTTATTCCAATAAGGAGTCGTCGGACATTTTCCTTCATATTGTCTTAATAGTAGTTCTTCTCTTGCTGATCCTGTTTGCCTATATAAGTTTCTATAGATCTATCTATTATAATTTGCAAGATAATAAGCAAAAATGAAAAAAATGGTAAAATTTGTCATTTAAGGGCAATAACTCTAATAATAACTCCTCCAACAAGTTTAACATTAATGGACAATTGGTAGAGCTCAACATTCTGAACATTTGTGCCCTTGTCATATTTTCTGTATTTATAACTGTTTTCAAAATAATAGACATTATTGAACTTGCATTTTACCCATATGTTTTAATTTTAGCCATGTCAGCCATCTTGGTTGGCAGGCGGGGTCATCCGACACATTTTTTTAAACTAGATACCCTAATGATGATTGTGGCCAAGTTCATTTAAATTTGGTCCAGTAGTTTCAGGGAAGATTTTTGTAAAAGTTCAAAGACAAAGACAGACAACTGACGCCAAGTGATGAGAAAAGCTGACTTGGCCCTGTGGACCAGGTGAGCTAAAAAGAAATCCTGACTAAGCTTCTATTAAACAATCATTGTTTAGGTCTTATCATTCTGATCTTTTTAAAAAAAATTGCAAATAGTACATTATCTTCAATGTTATGATTATATAACTGTACACCAGAACTTGGCAGAAGAAGAAGAAATAGAGGAACACCTTACCAATTAGGAAGTACAAAAGTAAGTCGTGAAGTCAGATTAGCTTTATGTATTCATCAAAAATACTGTGGGTAAGAGTTCCATATGACATCCCAACCATACTTAAAGTGATGACTGATGCCGTGATGGGTTGCTGACCTTTTCAAGTTATTAGGAAATTAATACAATACCATATTGCAGCTTATTCCATAGGATTGCCATATGAAATATTAACCCAATCCAAATTATGTGTTAGATTGTCTTAATAAATCCCTATTTGGTTTTGCAGGTGGAAGCTATTTTTCTTTTTATATTGAGTGCCCTAAAAAAGTAAAAGGCTAAAGCTAAAAACTAGTCTGATACTGCGTATAGCTAGACATACAGCTAATCCCAATAGTCATTATTCAGATATTATGACATGTTTACTTTGGATACACATGACATGCTATAAATTTACAAACAAATAGAATTCTTACTCAAATTCAAGTAGATTTTCGCACGTGTGATGTTTACAACTGGATACCAGTATCTAGTTTTAACGGTGAGGGATGTAGGATCAGAAATCACAAAAACCAGTTCATGGTCGGAGTAATTTTAGTTTAGTGACGGACAAAATTTTCCGGATTACACTTTTCAACTTAGAACTTTGAAAAACGACATCGCACATACAGCTGATTATGCTTCATATCGACGTACATTTAAAGATAAACAGTTAGGTTCGGTTGAAAACTGAACTTTACCACAAAAGAGATGATTTCTATTTACCAATGTGCATCAATATGTATCATCAGTGATAATTTTTTTCAGAGACAAGTGCCTTTGATGTGCATTTAACGATTTCTATTTCCAATAAAGGGCCCTACAGGACATAATCATTTGACATGACAATAACATCAATAATTCGAGATTAAAACATAAAGTTAAAACAACATTCAATAAAAAGAGTGATCATTTTTTGTTAAAGTTATTTTGTGATAGTTTAAACACTCAACTGAGATATTATAAAAGAGAGGAGGAATATACCAAAAGATTTTCAAACTCATAAGTCGATGACATAATTAATTACATTTCAAACGGTGTGGCTGTAAGTAGTTTTAATAAATATATATATATATATAAATAAATAATAGTCTATTTGCCAAATAACGATTTGATTCTGTTATTACACATGTTTAACACAAGTTGATTCCCTTTGTCAATTGTAAATTTTTTTTCTAAATTGGCCAAACTTGACCATGCTGACTTCTGCCCATGCAAAGCATACGAAGTTGAACGTGATTATCATGGGGCCAATATGTGTTTTCAAACCGGTCTTCCTCTAATATAGAGAAACAGGGACCCAGGTAGAACAAAAACATTTTATTGATATTTTTAAAATATATTGCAAAATATCACAACAATATCATTCAGAAATATTGTTTTGACGTGAAATGTATGGCTGTACTAATGTGAATAGCATATTTTCAGCTGATATTTGTTCTGAATGTTTAAAGAACATTTTTTTTTAAATATTTTGATTTTATATTTAAATAACATAATTTTGATATCATTCAGTGTCAATTGAAAATATCCAGACAACATATATATCAAACGTTATCCAAAAATATCCTTTTCATATCTAAAATATGTTTTATGGATGTCTACCAAATGTTTTTAAAATATCAGAGGCAAGTTTAGGTAGAAATATCTCTTGAAAATGTAAATTAAATATTTCAACAATGTTTTATGGATGTCTTCCCAATATTCTTAAAACATCTTAGTTAAATGTTTGTAAAAAACATTATATAAATATTAAAAAAACGTTTTATGTTCAGGCCAACTCTCAGCTTGCAAATATATCATGTATATTTAGACTAACATTTATCAGCTCTCCTCCAGGGCACATCTTTCTTGTTCTGTCATTATATGTAGTGTAATGTAGACTGTTTATTTTTTTATTTTGTTTTGCAATGCGATTGTTTTTCTCCGACTTGTGGAAATTTAAATTTTTGTTTGATATTTGTCAAACTCTTTCAAACAATTAAGAGCAGTCAAAGCATGACATTGTATACTGCCAACACAAAAGCATTGATAGAAAAGCTTAATTATATGACAGGACGACTGTCAATGAATATTGAATTTTCCTGAATAGCATTTTAACATTTTATTAATTATTCAGAGTCTGTATCTTCTACTGCGAGCCTCCTCTTCTTGTTAGCCTTCTGAAGAAGAAATAATACATAAATGTTTAAACTGAATTGAGATTTAAGCTTTTAAGCCGATATCAAGTCAAACATTATGAAAAAAAAATTGTATTATAATAATTAGATTACAGGTATGCCGTTATTTTGATTATGATATAGATTCAGGAAACAGAACTATGTAAAAAAACGTTCTAACTAAATCAAGAATTCAAGTGAAAAATACAAAGTCAAATCTAAATCAAAGTGACACTTAGCATTGACAGTAATATTAAACATTTTATGCATATATATCTGCGAATTTCAAATCCGATGTAGCATAAAGTAATTCATTCTGGGCTATCAAATGGTAGAATGCATTTTGTCCCATCTCCATTTCCATTGATTTTGAAGCCAGAATATTTTCAATGATTATTAAAATTCGTTTTGCACTCTGCTTTAATTTGTCTTCTGTAGTTCTTAAATACCAGATCTATAAATTTATATGAGAATGTAAAATTGTATATTAAAAAGAAACTCTACTTCAAGTAATTCATACACGAATCTGTCTGCAAATTTGTATAGACTTTTTTCGTATGATATTTTTTTTCACATTTTACCCCCTTTTTTCACATATACATGCCATTTCATTTTGTTTAAAATATATCTTTTTCACTTTTCCATGATATCCTAATGTTTAATTATAACACTGCATACATATAATTTAAAGAAGTAGCGTCTTCAACTTTTTGTGATATTAACTCCTACAAACTATTCAAATACAGATTTTGTTTTGCCAAAGTTTTGCCGAGGACAAAAAAAAAACAAGATTCAGTCGAGTCCGTATATCAATTGCGATTTTTTAAAATTACAACTTACATGTTTCTTTCTCTTTGAACTGTGATTTTCTCTTTTAGTTTTCTTTGTTTTCACTGCTTTCGGAAGTTACAAATAGACGACAGGAAATAACCTCAAAAATGACCATCCCATTACATTTAGATTTTCTATAATCTTAATTACCATAGCAACTATCTTTGAAATGTGTCCAACATCTGGTTAACCTTACCAGAATGTGTTTGATTAACAGAATGGTTGTATCAAATATCACTCTGTATATATTTGTTTATTATGTTTCATCAATTAAAGTTGAACGAAAAAAGTTATAATAATACGCAATTGAAATGTTCCTCAAAGGTTAAAATTATAAAGGAGATTATCTCATATAACCTCTTTGGAATTATTAAAGCTCTTCTATAAAAATGAGGAGTCATTCATGTTAATGTGATATCTAAAAAATATTTCTTTTTTCATATCTAACACTTGCTTCACTCAAATATTACTAACAAACATTTGACAAACATTTCTGTAATACATCTTACAAATATCTAGAAGAAATATTATGTTAAAATGTTTATAAAAGGGTCTTAACTAATATTTTCTAAATAAAATCGAAAAAATATTTTGTTAAGACGTTATTTAAATATTCATTAGATATTACCAGCTAATATATTTGATTAGGACAAGAAAATTATTTAGATGTTACATCAAAAAGATATTTTATTATACATCAAACCTATGCTTAACGCAGATATTAATCAAAAATGTTTTATAAACATTCCTTTTACACATCTTACAAATATATATTATAATTATAATATAAAAATGTTCATCAGATATTGTTTTAATATTGTAAAGAAATATTTCTTCGACATAAAACTGTTCTCATTTATAAAACTGTCTTTTAAACGTTTAAAAAACATCAGCAAAAAATATTTATTTATTTATTATAAAAAAATATTTACAAAAAATGTTTTTATATTTGCAATCAAACATTGGGATGAAATGTTATTAGTAAAATATCATTCACACCTAATTTCTGATGTAAACAAAATGTCTTTAAAATATTTTTGTGAAAATATTTCTGATAAACATATATACAACCAGTCAATAATATCATGAAAATATTTTGTGTTAGCTGGGGACAGTCTTTACTAACTTACTAGTTAGTATAGACTGTCCCTGAGAGAAGTAACGACATTTTAAGCTTTTTTGACGAGCTATCTGGCCTTATGTAGACTTGTCTGTTCTTAATTATGTAGAGAAGAAATAAGACAATTCTTTCTTACATTTTGATGCATCTAAAAAAGTTGTTTAACTTTAGACTAAAGATGACAAATTGGATCTTGTTATTTTGTGTGAATTTTTACCTGTTTTACATAATTATAATGAATAAAATATGTCAAAAATGACAGAAAACGCGGTATTCATTAAATAAAACTAATTGTAATCAGATTTATTATGTACTTAGTATTAAATACAAGTTAACTGAATGTGTAATACAATCAATGGCTGTATCAGACATCCGTGATGATATAGATATCAGTCACGGTTGCAAAGGCTTTAACATACCCCTAATTTGTATGACGTCACGTTATCGATATTACACCAAATCTCGTGAAAAAACCCCCATCTTAATGAATAGTACTTTGAGGTACCTAAAATATAATAAGATGTAAATGGTATGGCTTTTAACAATATCACACCTTTATCAACCAGAGACACCAATAATGCCAAGACCTTTGATTGCTGACGAGTACGAGGCGAGTCACGATATCGATAGATGTGACATCAATCAGATTTTACGAGTAAGTAAAAAAAAAAGAAAATAGAAATAAGAAGATGGGATATGAGTGCCAATGAGACAACTCTCCATCCAAGTCACAATGTGTAAAAAGTCAAAGGTCAAAGTACGGCCTTCAACACGGAGCTTTGGCTCACACCGAACAGCAAGCTATAAAGGGCCCCCAAAATGGCTAGTGTAAAACCATTCAAACAGGAAAACCAATTAACGGTCTAATCTATATAAAAAAACGAGAAACGAGAAACACGTCAACAAACGACAACCACTGAACAACAGGCTCCTGACTTAGGACAAGTGCAAACAAATGCAGCGGGTTTAAACGTTTTGACAGGCGCCAACCTTCATCCTAATCTGAAACAGTAGCGTAACATTACAACATAGAAAGACACACTATAAAATATTATTTGAAATAGCTTAACTTAATCAAAAAGACATATTAACAAAAACAAGTAAACATACACTGAACGAATATGTTTGATCTATGACACAATATAAATACAACATTAAATAAAAAAGGGGGAGATGTAAAACAATGTCAAAAAGACAACTATAACCTTTGACAAAATGGCGTTAAATAAAATAACGTACACAGGTAAATTTAAATATGATAATTTTGTTGTTAGGAGTACGAACATATTTTTTTCAAAATAAATAAATTTGTTGTTCATAGTACGAGAACAGAAGTGAAAATTTATCGTCATACTAAATACTTATCAAAGGTCTCTTATGAAAACTTGAATGGCAAAACAATTCAAAATAGAAAACCAGCGGTCAGGTTTGCTAAAACAATAAACGTAAAACAAATTTAGCAAACAACAACCAGCTATACAACCACATGAATTAAGAGGCACCTGACTTGGAACAAGCACATAAACAATATGGTTGAATTAAACAGGTTTGTGAGTGCTCAAAGTTCCCTCTTACCTGGAAAAGTGGTGTTAAAGAACTCCAGATGAACAAAACTATAAAGATAATTTGGAAAGGGCTTGAATTATTAGATTGGCACGAAGCACAAAAAAAATCACAAAAACAAAATGCCCACATTAGGATTATTTGGGGGTCATGAAAAATACACAGTCTAAGATCTCTGCAGGCGCTTTGAAATTGTCCAATGATTTTGTGAATTGCAAATATATTACAATTGAAAACCTGTAAATATACTATATATCTTGCAGTGTACCTATGTTTTAAACTTTATTTGTTGTCCCATATTTAAAACCAATCTGTATTGATAACAATATTTTTTTCCCTTTTCCATCTCCATCTTTTTCATTTTATTTAAGCAAAATAGAAATATACCCAACATACAATAAATGTTTCTTTTAAACTGGTGATTTATTTGTTCTATTTTAATCAATAAAATGTACATACATATTTGTGTAATAGTTATGAAACATTCTTTTTACTGCATAATTTACAATTTGCCAGAGGACACAAAGATAACAAACAACAATATGTCGATTGTCAATGTACCCAAATATATATCTGTCATTTGTTGTGATTGTAATTTTTTGTCTTTGTTTTCTATGAGATGACGAAGTAAATGTTAATTAATCACCAGATGCATGACATAAAACTGTCCGAAAAACAAATGATTCATTGACAGGATATAAAACTTTCCTCACATATGTATACTTTGTTCACTTCAAAAGAAATATCATCATGAAAGCTTTACTTTTACTTTGTTCTTGTTTTGCCTTTTCTAATGCTTCTCTTTGGGATTTACTCAACAAAATAACGGGAACCAATGGGCAATGCAGTACTGCTCCAAGCTTCAAAGATCCTCTGATAGGTAAGTATTGATTATTCACATGCACTTGAAATGTCGTAATGCTGAAAGTTTTATCTAAAATATAACTTGTCTCGGTGGGCTCTCGCTTAGAGTGCAGGACGACGTTGATATCTGGCCAGGTCAACCAACAGAAATGATAGAGCTTGCTGGTTAAATCCGTCTCTGTATCTGTGTAGTACAAAGATTGGTATTTCATATCTCATTTACGTGCTATCGTCATGAATATGCATGTAATATTTGTCAATGTAGACTGAACAGTAAAATATCAATCAATATAAAGTTGTACAAATAAAAGCTGTTCTCGGAATTTCCTTATTGTTGCTGAAACTATGTGTAAAATCAAATATTTTTTCGTTACAGACCCATGGCTAATGTTTGGTAATCCAAATATTTGTTCGTTGTACAGTAGCTACATACTCTATGTGTGATAATCGAAATGATTTTTTCATTGTAGCTACGGACCCTATGAGTGATAATCCAAATTGTTCTTGGTTGTAGCTACACATCCTTTGAGTGACCGTCCAAATTTGTCTTCGTTGTATCTACATATACCATATGTGTGATAATCCAAACTGTTCTTTGTTGTATCTACATACCGTATGCGTGATAATCCAAACTGTGCTTCAGGTTATCAACATACTGTATGTGTGATAATCCAAACTGTTCTTCGCTGTATCTACATACCGTATGTGTGATAATCCAAACTGTTCTTCGTTGTACCTACATACTGTATGAGTGATAATCCAAGCTGTTCTTCAGTTTATCAACATACCGTATGTGTGATAATCCAAACTGTTCTTCAGGTTATCAACATACCGTATGTGTGATAATCCAAACTGTTCTTCATTGTATCTACATACCGTATGTGTGATAATACAGTGTGGTTTTTTTTTATGTTGTAGCTACAGATCCTATGTGTGAGGCTAAAGCAGATTCGGGAGACTGTACTTTCTATGATTGTTTTGAAGACAGATATTCCTGTGGACTATGTGGCTTTCCTAAAACATATGACCTATACAACTGTGAAAAAATGCATATGCCTTTGTATATAGACAAATTTACTCCCCAGGTTAGTAATTCTACGTAAATAAGTTACAATATTAAAAATAAGGATACTGGGTGATGTAATATCAAACCAGGCTTAGGAAATGCATTGCATGTTTATTTTTTTTATTGTCGTTAGATTACTTATTTACCGTTATTTGAAATTTCCAGTTTTCTTTTTTTTTCATGGATAAACCTCGGAGTCTTTAAGTTATAGGGACCATTTTTCGCGTAGAAAATGATTATTCAGGGTTTTAAGCAATTTCATCGTCCGTATATCCCTTTTATTGGCAATTAAAAGTCCTTATTTTCAATTTGGTGTCGATTTTTGCCATCATTTTCCGTAAAAGAAATTTGACATCGTTGTTAAATAACTGTCTTTTCTGATTTCGTCCTTGTAAGATTTTTTTAATCATATGCACTCTCTTTGCAAGTAAATGTTTTTCATTGGATAATTGGATAACAGTTTTTTCATATTTATCATCTTTTACGATAGATTTCAAATCAAACTTTATATCGTTACTTTTTTTGGCTAGTATGTATTGTGCGATGGATCACTATGGTTACTGGGGTCTACATGTACTAAATGTATGCCAAAGTTTCCTTATAGTTCGTTTTATTTTTCTAATTTGGTTAAAAACGATAAAATAATATTAATTTGAAATTCTGTTGTAAAATTTGTAACATTAAAAGTTGTATTTTAGGGACAGAAGTTTATATTAGACGCTGGTAAATGTCTGACACTGTTTATGAAATCTTTATACCGATTGGACAGACTAAGTTGTGATGTGGTCAAACATCAAATGGAGGAAAAAGTCTCAGAATGTTTCATCAGCAGTGGCTTCTGTGATATTTTGATGGAAAACAGAAACGCATTGTGGTCTGTCTACAATGTTAAGAAAATCCTCAAAAATCCAAAGTAAGTATGCGTGCACGTGTCTTGTCGCGTGTTTTATGGAATTAATGTTGATTTGCCTACTTGCTGTTTCAACAATTACAAAATATTTCTAGTTATTTATAATTTACTGTATTGGAATTTTGTACAAAAGTTACTTTGGTCATGCACAAGATGTTTTTCTCCGGCACTGTTCGTGACATTAATGTATGAGATATGTTTTGAAGCACAGCGCAGGTGTGGATCTAGGATTTTGAAAAAAAGAGGGACTTGCAAGGCAACGTTAGGTGTGGGACTGGGATAAATTCTATGCATTTACCATATATGGAGCTCCATAAGGGGACGGTTCGACCCCTGCCCCTAAATGCGGCTTTACAGCGATTAACATTTGAGTATTGAAAAGGGACAAATTGCACGTATCGTTATTGAAGTAGTTTTCAGTAAGATGAACATATGTTCTGTTCGCCTCTCGTTTCAATTCTATAGTCGAGCAAGTTTCCATTGCCCGTGAATGATGGAAATATGTTCTGTTCACCTTTCGTTCCCATGCTATATGTAGTTGATGAAGTTCCCATGGTCCGTCAATGATTATCATATGTTCTTTTCGCCTTTCGTTCCAATGCTATAGTCGAGCAAGTTTTCATTGTCTGTGAATGGTGAACATATATTCTGTTCGCCTTTCATGCCAATGCTATAGTCCAGCAAATTTCCATTGTCTGTGAATGAGTTTTTGGTTAAATCTAACAAATTTTGCGTCGATGAATGTCTTTTGAAGTGTCTGTAAAATAAGCTCTCATTTACTTATTACTCGCGATAATTAATGTATATATTGTATAAAAGTTGACTATACTGGAGAAAAAAGGCGATGTAAGATACATCAATCCAATGAAAAAAAATAATGTAGTGTATGATTTTTTATCGTCATTAAAGACCTTTACTATGACTACTGGTGATTAATTAAAAATGGAATGCTTCTTTTTGTAGTTTTACTGGGATTCAAAACAAAACACATCACAACACAACACAACACAAGCTAGCAAATAAAACAATGTATTACTGATTGGATCTTATGATAATGATTTATTTTTTCTTTTACAAGAATTGTTGGAGAAGTCATGGACATTTCAAAGAACTGCAGTGAACAGATTGCCACATGGGCATTTGGACATGCACAAACTGATATTACCAAAACACAGACAAACATTAACTCTGGTTTATCTCAATTGATTAATGCATTTGGCAAGAAGTAATTATATTTTTTTTTAATTTCTCTTAAGGAACAGTTTCTTATTAGTATGATTGTTTTTTTTCATTTTTATTTAATAAAAACATAAAAGTAAAAAAACTTTCTTATCCTTGAAACATGGAATATGTCTACCAAATCACTCAGTTGTCTCAAATAAACTCATCATAGATACCAGGATTGAAGTTTGTGTTTGCGCCAGACGCGCGTTTCGTCTACAAAAGACTAATCAGTGACGCTCGAATCAAAAAAAGTTAAAAAGGCCAAATAAAGTACGAAGTTGAAGAGCATTGAGGACCAAAAAGTCCTAAAAGTTTTGCCAAATACAGCTAAGGTAGACTATTCCTGAGTTAGAAAAGCCTTAGTATTTCAAAAATTCAAAGTTTTGTAAACAGTTAATTTATAATTATGACAAAATTAATATCAATGATAATTCATTATGTCAACACAGAAGTGCTGACTACTAGGCTGGTGATATCCTCGGGGAATACAAACTCCACCAGCAGTGGCATCGACACAGTGGTTGTAAATACCAGGATTGAAGTTTGTATTTGCGCCAGACGCGCGTTTCGTCTACAAAAGACTCATCAGTGACGTTCGAATCAAAAAAACTTTAAAAGGTCAAATAAAGTACGAGAGTTGTTATGATGATGCAGGACTGTAAATACTAGTTTTATATCTTGTACCTAATCTCTAGAAACTTCCACGGAACGTAATCAATGATACGACGTCAACAAAATCATCATGGTTTTGAACAATTTTGCACTATTTCATGGATAACACCATCATATTGTAGCACCTTTGTCCTTAAATGTATAATATGCAATTAAAAAATAAGTTTTATTAAGTTTAAATGATGTCGATCAAGTCCTGTACTTTTATCGTTTCTGCATCTATATATAAATTGAGAATGAAAATGGGGAATGTGTCAAAGAGACAACAACCCGACCAAAGAGCAGAAACAGCTGACGGCCACCAATGGGTCTTCAACACAGCGAGAAAATCCCGCACCCGGAGGCGGCTTCAGCAGGCCCCTAAATAAAAATGTGTACTTGTTCAATGAAAATCAACGTCACACTAAACTCCAAAACATATAAATGAACTAAAATTTTAAAATAAATACAATATTAACAAAGGCCGGAGGCTCCTGACTTGGGACAGGCGCATAAATGCGGCGGGGTTAAACATGTTTTGTGAGATCTCAACCCTTCCCCTATACCTCTAGCCAATGTAGAATAAACAAACACATACGCACAGTAAAACTCAGTTTAAAAGAAGTCCGAGTTCGATGTCAGAATAGGTAACAAAAGAAACTAAATAAAATGACAATGATACATATATAAATTAACAAAGGACTACTAGCAGTTACTGACATGCCAGCTCCAGACCTCAATTAAACTCATTGAAAGATTATGTCTTCATCATATGAAAATCAAGCACAATCCCTCCCGTTAGGGTTTTAGTATCATACCATCATAAAATATATGAGAAGAACATAACCCGTATCATGCCAACAACTGGTTTTAGAATAAATGTGTTTATTTCCGATGCAAAGACCCTATGAGTGAATCAATATTAATACCAAAATATGCCATCTTTAATGACCTGACAACAGTATCGTAACTATATCCCTTCTGAATGAGTCTGTTTAAGGGTTTGGTTAGCTTTTGAGGTGAATGTCGACATTTTTGTGCTTTGTATAGAATATTACCATAAAAGATTGGATGTGAAATACCTGAACGTATAAGATGTCTGCATGTTGATTTATATTTACGAATGATGTTCTTGTACCGATGATAAAATTTAGTAAATGTTTTGACTAGTTTGTGATATCACAAACCCTGGTGTAATAATTTTTCAGTAATACATAGGTTTCTTTCGTTAAAATCAAATACGTTGTTACATACACGAGCTTATCGAACAAGTTGAGATATATAAACACCATAAGATGGTGACAAGGGAACGTCATCATCTAAAAATTGATAATTAACAATAGGTAATGAAACATCATCTCTTTTATCATAAATTTTGGTATTAAGCTTCCCGTTAAAGATATAGATATCAAGATCCAGGAAAGGGCAGTGTTCATTGTTAGAATTAGCTTTATTTAAAGTCAGTTCAGCAGGAAAAATCTCTTTAGTGTACATACTGAAGTCGTCATTATTGAGAGACAATATATCATCCAAATATCTAAAAGTGTTATTCAATTTTTGTATCAGATGTTGTTTCGATGGGTCTTTGCTGATTTTAGTCATAAATTGTTACTCATAACAATACAGAAACAGGTCCGCAATAAGTGGTGCACAGTTAGTCCCCATTGGAATTCCGATAACTTGACGATATACGGAATCTCCATAGCGAACAAAATTGTTATCTAGTAAAATTTCCAGGGCAGTTATCGTATCAAAGCAGGTCCAATTGACATACTTCTTTTGTCTGTTGTTACTAAAAAACGACCTAAAAGAGTTAGAACATAATTATATATTCGCATTCAGACTTTTTAAATGCCCATTTAATTAGGTGTGTGAATTTGTTCTTAATAAGATTATGAGGCAAAGTGGTATATAGGGTAGAAAAATCAAAACTTTGAACAGATTCGAAATCACCAAGATAAGCATGCAATTTATCAAGTATACTACCAACGAATTTTTGACATTCCAAAAGTAATTAATTCCACTATTTTCAAAGGCCTTATTTGAACAATTTATTACCAGGTTTTTGATTGTACCAAGTGTACTAGTAAGTAGAATAGACAGTTTAGTAGTGGAACAATGGCTTGAAGACGAAATAAATCTATATTTGTAAGGTGTTTTGTGCAGCTTCGGAAGCCAGTACATAGTTTGAACTTTCATTGTATTTGGTTCTACTTGTAAAGAGGTAGCTAAAAGTTTATGTTTGTTACAGATGTCATTTTCCGAAAATGGAGTCAGTTGGAATGTTGGTGAATTTGTGATTTCCTTTTGCAGAACCTCAATGTAAAATTTACATCAAACAATAAAGGATCATAAAGATGTTATATTAGCAGCCCTATCAGCCGGGACAAAAACAAATTCCTTGGCAAGTTCTTTTAGCTTATGTTTGATACGAGAAATAGGGCTATTATGGTTGTTGTTAGGAGTAAAATGTTCTTTAAAATGTTTAATGCTAATATCAACTATGTTCATTACTGAATTAAAAAAAGAATCTAAGGATTTTTTGTCAGCTTTTTCTCGTTTTATCCATTTCGAGCAGTAAGTACGGAGAGAGTCGTGGATGATGTTACAACACTCATTCCAATTAATAATTGACGTGGGACGATATTAAGGTCCTGTACTGAGGAATGATTTCAACTCTCGGTCATGAACGATGTTAAGGTCTCCTAGCTGTTATACGATGGGAACTGGGGCCATAAATGTATTCGGAATTACTGCAATTTCATGAAGTAGGTGTATTGTCACTGATATTAATATCTTTACACACTTCGCTATAATTAATCACATATTTCCGGGTAGATTTTTTGTAAACAGAACAAATAAGAGGGAGTTCAGTATTATCAAAATAGCCAGGAATTTGTTCTTTAACAGAATGATCATTAAAAATATCAAAACCTTTATTGACATATTTGATTTTAATAAAATGTTTTTATGATCTTCAAGGCGATCAATTTTGGGAAACAGTTTAGAATAACAAATTGAATATGCAATTATAATTTGGACGATTTCATACTTAGGACTGCAATATGGAATTGTGTTGCAATCCTCTAAAATTTGATGTAATTTGTTAACAGGTAAAGAACAGAGCTTGGTTAATAGATAATGTCTGCCGTTGTTTTTTGAAATAGTAATTAGGTCCGAAATATTTGTATTGTTGGTACGAAATTTTCTCTGATTGCGATTAATTCTACTCCCATGAGAACGGTTTTTACGAACAGTTTTAGAAACTATATCGAAAATGTTAACAGAATCGGTTCTTGATATATTACCTATTCCCATGATATTATCATTAAGACCGAGAGGATAGACTGTCTGTAATTTTTTAATCCAATTTAATTCAATTAATTTCCGTGATCGTACAAACTTTGAATGAGATTCCCTAGGCTGCTTAATTATTTACTACTTCTAAAGGTTTATATTTTATATATAAACAAAGTGTATGAAATTGATTTCAAAACAAACACTTACACAACTATCAGAATCATGTATTACCATCATCGAAACCTGTATTGAGAATGTCCATTCTTTCAAATTACTTGGAATTGACATTGATGAAAATTTAAGCTGTCGTATCTGTAAGATTATCTCATCTAAAATATCACTTAAAGAATATTTGCCTATACACATAATTAGATATAAGAAGATGTGGTAGGAGTGCCAATGAGACAACTCTCCATCCAAGTCACAATTTGTAAAAGTAAACCATTATAGGTCAAAGTACGGCCTTCAACACGGAGCCTTGACTCACACCGAACAGCAAGCTATAAAGGGCCCCAAAAATGACTAGTGTAGCTATAAAATGCCCCAAAAATGACTAGTGTAAAACCGTTCAAACAGGAAAACCAACGGTCTAATTTATATAAAAAACGAGAAACGAGAAACACTTGTGAACCACATCAACAAACGACAACCACTGAACATCGGCAATCATACCACATCTTCTCATTTTTTCCTTTAGAGCCTCTAGATACCAATTTTGGCGTTTTTGTCAAATATATGGAAATTATAATAGATAGATAGAAACTTAGATAAGCAAAAATGTTCTGCAAGACAAGATCTACAAATAATTCAACATAGCCAAAATCGTCAGGTATTTATTATTGGAGATCTTGCTTCATATTAATGACGATTTTTATCAATATTTTTCGTTTTATCCTATTATATTGAAAACTAAAAAAGATAGATAGACACTTTCGATAGAAAAAATGATCACGAAGACCAGATTTACAATATCAAAAGTTACCAGCAAGACAAGATCTAAGAACGAAAAACAAAAACAAAAAACAAGATCTGCAAATATAAGTTTCATTACTGAAATGGTCAGTCGATCTCTTATTGGGGTGATTGCCCTTTAAAGACGATTATTACCAATATTTTGCGTTTTTGCCTAACTTTTAAAAACTGTATAAATAGATAGATAGAAACTTTGAAAAGCAAAAATGATCAGCAAGACAAGATCTAAAAATAAGTCAATATAGTCGAAATC